TAACTGACTGTCACTGTCAAAAGAATTTTCCTAAAAGTGACGAGGGAGGGGTGATAAACTAATGATTTTTTTTTAGAAAACATCGTTTATTATATTTAAATTACTTACATTGTGTAGTTTATTATGTTAAAAGTTTCAATTAAAAAAAAACGTTATCTTACAAACGTACAAAAATAATACGTTCTAATATTCTTTGCGTAAACTACTAAACTGGGCATGCGGCATTCTGTCTAGGGACTTTCGTACTAAATGATTTATCTACTCTAATTGTTCCTACTTAGATTTATTTTACTCGTGCTGTTCTTTTTAGTTAATGAGTAGGCCTATAAATTATTTAAAAAAAAAAAAATAAATAAAATTGAAATTATTTACACGCGCCGTTGTCAGGTATTCTCCTGTTTTATAAAATGTTAATACGTGGTTCACGCACGAACAATTTACAAGGCATAGGGCCTACTATACTGTACTGACAAAACATAGACATGCTAAACACAAACCATGGTCTAACACATAATACGTTTATGTTTAGACCTATTCACTGACACAGTACCGTACCTTCTCTTCAAAATAACTTACCAATAATTACATGGTTCACGCATGAACAATTTACAAGTCATAGGGCCTACTATAACACTGTACTATCAAAACAGAGACATATGCTAATAATGTCATACTAAACATAAACCATGCAGTGGCGGATCCAGGAACTTGAAATAGGAGCTGGGTGCCCAGAGAGGGACTTTGACAGATGGAGGGTCTACACCGAATGGTCCACTGATTAATCTCAGATAAGATAGTATAATACATACTCCAAGCTCCAAGTATCGAAATGCACGCCATTGTGTCGGGATTCAATATTTCGACATTAATTATGTCATCATCAGGAATGATGATCCCAGCATAATTGGAGCTGAGGTAAGAAAATTTACGATTATGGAACCTGTAGATGACGGGAAATGGCACTCTGAGACTTAAATTTGAAAATGATTTTCCGTTTTTCTCCAATTCTTTACAATTTTGAAAAATTTAGGGGGGGGGGGGGCGAGCCGGCTGAACCCCGACCCTTGAATTCACCACTGGCATGGCCCAACAACTATAAGTTTATGTCTAGACCTATTCACTAATACAGTATTCTACTTCCTTTTCCAATTCACTTATAAAGAATATTACAGTATTTGATGTTCTTATTTTTATTCCTATTTATATTTAAAAAAAATTAAAATTACCAAAAATTGACGTAAATAAAATTAATAAAATGAATTCAAATGAATATGCGTATTATAACACACATTTTTAACTGTTTATAATATAATAATTCTTAAATCATATTGGAATGTCATCGTACTATTGAAATAATGAAACTCGTAAAAAATTATATTGGTAGTTGTATGAACTGTATCGTAATTCAGTATAATGTTTGTTTTCGTAGACCGGCGAGATGCCATTAATGAAAGCTGTGATGTGCGGCGCACCAGATTACGTATTAGAGAATATGATTGAAACGGCAACTCCAGATAATTTAGAACATTCGGTGAGTGGAATTAAATATCATTGCATTTTAAACATCACAAGCACAACATGTGTACACATCATACAACATACAAATAACTCAAATTCAATTTCAGTGATTTATTTCATGTTGGGTTGAAATGAGACTTTTATTTCATGATTTGACATTTTTTACAACACAGAAAAGCCTATGCTCTGGCCATTATCACTAATTCATATGAAATATTGTGAAAAAAATACATTTTACACTTACAAAAATAGTCATGTTTGGATTTGTTCTGTTTAATACAGTTTACTGAATAAATTGGTGACAATAAAATTGATATTTTTCACAAAAAGTATTGTCGCTAAAAATCCCGATTTGGAAATATTTTACTATTGTGTGTAAAACATAGGCCAATTGATACAAATATTTTTTGCGCGATTTCGCCTAAAAAACCACATTTTAAAAATATTGAATAATGTAATTAGTATTTAATAATGATGAATGTAATAAGTAATGTATGTGTGATGTTTGTGAGTTGTTATGTGTTGTTGATATGTGGTGTGTGTATAGTTTCTTGTTGTTGTTTATTATTTCTTTCTCATCATATTCTACGTTTGTCTTGTAGTCTGCTGTTGGTTTCACTATTCTCCATCTCTTGGCGGTCTACGCACGCGTGTCAGCAATGAGACGCGTGTTGGAAAAAACCAACAAGAAGATTAACACGCAAGACAGAGTGAGTACAGTAGAAGAAAACAACACTTTATTCATTGCTAACAAATTAACATTAATTCACTCACAAACACATTCAATACATAACGTTCTAATTTTGTAATAGTAATCTAATATTATTGGATGTCATACCGTGTTATAATTTATTATATTCACAACTGGTTTAGATTATGTTTTTTTAAACATTGTATTTTGTATACCTTTAAAGTACTGCCCGTCATAATAAAATATAATTAGCTATATTACAATAACATGCTTTTAATAGACACACCATAATTAATACAGTATTGTATTACTATTGTTAGTGTCATTATCATCATCATCATTATCGTCATCGGCATCACCTTCGTTGTAATTATTATTAGCTGAAATAGTATCATTTCATTATTTAAATATTCATAAAAGTATCTTTGTCCTCATAATATTATCATCACCATCTTCATTTTTATAATCATCAATTTTATTATAATACATTTTTATAGGTCTATATTATTATTATTATTACATATTTCATTGGCGATAATTAAGTAGGCCTATTATGGTTATAAATTATTTCAGGTACTTTTACGTTTGCGTAATATTTGTTAATTGATATTCTTGTGTTGTGCGTGTTCAACAAACTTGACGTTGATTATCATTTCATTGCAGCTTGGACAAACACCACTACATTGGTGTCTAGAGAATTGGAGGCTGACGCACGAGCAACACAAGGAAGTCGCAATTCTCAATATCACCTTCGGTGCGTCGGTGACAATAAAAGATAATGTAATGTACAGAAAAATGAAATGCATCAAAAGAATATCAGTCAATGACCTTAATACAACAACTGTATATGAAACTACTTGAAACATTTTTACTAATTAAAACCCACGTAATAAATATAAATTCATAAAACATTAAATCGATTAAAATGTTAGCGAACATTGTAATGATAATGATTTTTTAAAGTATGATTTCAATAAATATTTTTTCCCCGATGTGATGTGATAGTAATTTACAACAATAGTTATAAAGTTGTAATGCTCATAGTGTTGATTATTTAAATTATTTATTATTTACCATTTTATTATTATATCATTATGGTTTTTAAACCAAAATATACGGTACCACTGTCTTTTGTTGATTTAATTTGCAACCCTCATCCGTCTTGCAATGAAACGAATCATCGCGTGCTCGTGTCTGTTATTGCAGGATGGAAAGACGCCTCTTGATGTGTATGATGATAACGAATGTTATAATTACGAAGAAACCACGAAAACCGAGAAAAAGGAGGAGTTGAAAGAACTACTTAAAGGTACGATAATGGCCTGTTTAAACCACATTTAACAGACATATTACTCATTACATTTACTTTCTAATATAATTATACACTACTATATTATTTCAATTCAGTTGCATTTTGATTGAGAATTGTAAGAAATGTTAATCGTAATTAATTAAAATGTAATTTAGAAAGTGAATTAAATAAAAGTATCAGTATAGAAGGACAACATACTAAATATCCGATTTTTTTTTTTTTTTATTAATTAGAACTATCAATTCCGTCAGAGATTTTAGCCAGGGGTCCCGAAGCCGTCAAAGCATTCAAAGATGCACTTGAAACTGGTGAAATAACAGTTGTTAATTCAAGACTGATGTTCCTAGGTAACGAGGGTTCCGGGAAAACCTCTTGTGTCAAAGCCATGCTTGGGAAAGAGTAAGTACAATCGGATGTATTAGGTTTAGATGTGTATAAGAGACAGATTTACTTTGCTTGCTTTTTTTCAGTTGGTTTTAACATTACAGTGTACGTTCGTTTTCTACTCAACTTTTAACATGCACGCGCTAGTGTGCGCGTGTAAGTTTACTTGTAACTTTCCGAAGTAAAGTTGTTGCTAGGTGACGGGGTCGAGTAGCGGATGACACGGCCTTTATATTATTATGCAATTGGGATTTAATACAACTGCGAAATTTATTGTTGTTTTTGCATTTCAAATACTAATCACCAGTTTTTAGGGTACTAATCACCAGATGTTAGGATTTTTTGTTTTTATAATTTGTATTCTGAATCCGTTTTGTTGGTTATTATTCGTTAATTTTAGAAATGCTTAAATCAATCATTGTAATTATTATTTTTATTGTTGATGAAATTATTATTCATTTTTATCATGATGATGAAAAACTTTAATAAATAGATTCGATAAGCATGAGAGGTCAACTGACGGTATTGTTACAACTACTGTCTTTCAAACTGATGGAGATTACAGCAAATGGGAGGAGCAGAAGGATGTGGACGGTATGATTTATAATAATTAATCTAAATGATGTTATAGGCCTAGAACAGGGGTGGTTCCAGAAATATAGCAGTAGTCTATTGTTGCCTTCTAAACACATGAAAATAACCTCTGAAGCGTTTTGGGCGATCAATTATTTCTTTTTCTTTCTTTCTCTTTTCTTTTTCTTTTAAATTTACTTTGCAAAATGTAGGGAGGGGGCCAGCGGGACCCCCCTTTAATCCACTCCGGAGTAATAAAATAATAATTCTTTATTCGTGTTCATTAAACTTGGAAACACAAATATAAGTGGTTTGGGTCCCTGGGCAGGGGTGGCGCTAGGATTTTCCCGAATGTGGGGGCGGGGGTCCGAAGCTCCCGACCCGGTTGTGGGGGGCGTTTTCCCCGAAGACGGGAAAGGTTTTCCCTACGAGAGCAAAATGGGCGTGGTTGAGCGTTTCTTATAATGTTTCCAAAATGGTCCCGGGGGCTTCCCCCAAATATTTTATGAGTTTGAAAGGCATAGGCCTATTTAATCGATTTTAGAGTCTACTAATGTAAAAAATAATTATACATATATTTTTTTTTCTTCCCACCCGCTCTCCCATACAGGACACTCTGGCCCGCTATCCAGAATTTTTCAAACGGTGGTGGTGGGGGTGGGGAGGGGTGAACAAATGTGTCTAAATACAGTACCGGTATACGTGTGTAGCACATAAGATTGATATGCATTGAAATTTTTAAAATATTGTGGCTAAACGCGGCTTGAACATGGCTCTGCACAGCAGAGGAAGCATAATATTACCTCCAGCAACTCTTAGCTAAAACTTAAGACCCCTGCCCAGATTTGAACTTGGAAATTTTCGTTTACTGTACACTCGAACCACCACCTAAGCCACACAGCCACATTATATTTTTATTACTACGTTCAAAGCCTAAATGTGTGATTCAGCTGATGATATACCAGTAGGCTTACTATAAATTAATGACCTAATTGTCATGGGTAACTTTTCAATTGTGCACAGTTTGTGAACAAACTAAGCAGATACTTGAGTACGGTATCGCAGCAGACGTTGCAAAGAAGTTGAAACAGCCAAACGGTGAACAAAACAAATCTAAATTTGTTTCTGATGTAGAAAGACCATCTTCATCCAGTTCTATTGCATCTACATTTGCTGAGGTACGGTAATTTTACCTGTCGAAACGATCAAATCCACACTTACTTAATATTGATAATTCTCTATACAAAAGTTACTATATTAGTGATTATTTGCATGTTGCGCAATATCTTGAGAAAAAAATGTGTCCCAAGTGATAAGCTAGGGACGAATAACACGTGGCCTATTCTTCGCAACTCCTTATTCAGAAAAGACGTTAATACAGGTCTCTGCTCCGAATCTCGACATTAGATTTTCTCAAATTTTTATTTTCATTTTTAATTATATTGAGATAAGATAAATATTATAGAATAGTTAATAATTTAAAGTTAATGCAAGTATTTTGGAAGTATTGTACAGTGTACTTAGATTGCTATTTTAGAGATATTAATATTGGTAAAATAATTTACTTATTGTTTAGTTACAGTTTCAATTACCAGAAGCAGTTAGGCCTTTGCCTCCGACTTTGCGAAAGAAACGCAGAGGTATTAATTTTATTCTCAATATTATTTTCATGATTATCGTTATTGGTACCTTCACCATCACTACAAACATCACCATCATCATTACAATCATAATCATCATTAGTATAAACACTATTCACAAAATCACCATCGTCATTCTCATTCTCACCGTCATCATAGCATTATTAACATCATATCATCACCATCATAATCTTCTTCATCATCACTCTCATCATGATCAATTGGCCATCATTATCGTCGTCGTCATCATTCTTATTATTTTTACCACCACCACCATAACTATTGATATTATTTTACACTATTCCTTCATCGATGTATAGTTATCTATAAAGTATATTGTCACATATTTTCAGTAAAAACTGTAGGCCTATCTCATAACAAGATGGGAGTAGGCCTATCGACCAATCACCTAATGAAATATGAAATACGCAAGAAGATTGTCGATAATCTTGCTAACAAGAGTTCGGTACCAACAGATATAACATGCATATGGGACTATGCTGGTCAGATGATTTATTATATTACTCACCGGGTAAGTGGTTAATTTAAACTGTGGTATTATTGCAACGTAGTATCTGGTTGTTTGCTTCCGATAGTTTTATAAGCTATGAAAGCAATCTCTAAATTTGTTAAAAAATTTATTCAACTTTAAGTACGAAAATTATTATACCAGTCAATATTTATATAAATAGTCTATACAAATAATATTAGAGCGGTGTAATGTTTGCGTCTGTCAATGAGAACAAAATATTTTCTTGGGGGGGGGGGG